AACTAGGGCTGCTTGTTGGGAACTCTGTGCTGCCTGGTGGGGCTCCCAGCTGCTGAATGATCTGAAAAATGCCTGCAGTTCCTTACTGTGGCCTGGGTTTTTTCCCTAGACTTTAAAATTTGATGCGATTGAAATAAGGTGTTTTTCCGAGGAGACATGTTACACATGGGTAAGTATCCTTGTTTAGTAAGACTAAAGGTAACCGGCACTGTGTGTACTTCCAGTTATTCTTTTTTTTAAAAAAAAAAAGTTATAACTACAATTTTTAATGGAAGGGTGTGTGTGGGGGGAGGGGGAGTACACCAGGCAGCCAGGACAAGAGTTCACAATGAACAGTGACCCTTTACACTCCAGCTCCAATTTCCCTTCCTCAGAAGCACTTCTGTTGGCCTGACCGAGAACATGATGTTGCGCCACTTTTCCAGGAAGAACAGAGGGACAGCATAGGGCTTTATCCTGCCTGTCTCAGGGCTGTTGTCACCAAGTCAGTGAGAGAATTGAGGAAAACCCAAGACAGTTAAATTGCAACAAGGGGCTGGATATTCAGTAAGGCTGGGGCTGGTGCAGGTGGTGGTAAACATTTTCACGTTGTTTTGGAAAAGTGTCCCTACCACCCCAATAGCAAGGCAGCACATAGTGTGAATAAGGCTTGCCTCTTGCCAGATATTTTTGCTACTTTAACCCCAGGGCCTGTTGAGCCAGCACATGGGAGCTTTTGTGAGGTTGCCCAAGATGTCGGCATGGCTCAGGTGCCAGGCAAGGAGGCGGGGAAGCACTCTGGCATGTGCTGCCCCAGGTGGCACAGCTGGGCAGGCCCACAGAGATGCGGGGCTGAGCCCTTTGCCCTGGTCCAGTCTGTGCGGGAACTTGCTGAGACAAAAAGCTCAACCAGCGTGTCAAATATTTTTACCTGCGTAGCTGAAGGGATGGGCTTGCCCTTTTCTGGTTATGAGGTGGGGGTTCTGCAGTCACAGGCCTGGACCCTGAGACCCCGCTGGACAACGTATCAGTGACAACAGAGAGAATTTTTCTCCTCCCTTTCCACCATTTGTCCCTTGTTTTTTATTAAAGAAACAACAGTGATATCACCATGCAAGAACCACTGAACCACTGGACCTTGAAGATCACACAAGATGTAGTCTCAATCCATCATGAGGGACAAGAGGCATGGGTGTCTGGATTCCCACTCAGTGCAGCATGCATCTTCATGGGCTGTCAAGCCTGGGAGAAGAATCTGTTCAATTCTGCCTTCGTGGTTCACTCTTCCTGTCTCTTCTGCAAACAGGCTCGTTTGACAAGGGTGCCTCGCTGTAACCTGGGGCGCTGCACTGTGAGTGCACTGGATGGCCATGGCTTGCCAATGTGAAATAAGGAGAGCATTTTTTTGATTAATGGCACATGAGCATTTAGGAAAGCAACTGGCTGCATGCCTATGATTGTCAGATGCTCTTCCTCTCTGGCATCAGGCAGCACACTGTTATCTTCCTGCCTTTGCTGCAGCTCTGGGTGGGCCCCACGCCGTGCAGGTCCCTCCTGTGACATTATTTCCCTTGCAGGAAGTCATAAATATTGGCTGGCTGTCCCTTGGTTGTGGGAGGCCTCGCTGCGGGGAGACTCAGCCTGCCCACACACAGATGGGCAGTGCACAGAAGGGAGGGAGGAGCTGGGTGAGTGAAGGAAACAGCTTCCCCAACTTGGAGGCTTGGCGAGAGTTGGGTCTCTTTCCTGATCTGTGGTTCTCTGTCAGAAAGTGATGTTATCACTTAAGATGGGCAACAGGATAACTGGATGGAAGCAAAGTGTGAATCTGGATTACACTTTCTCGGAGCTTAAGAACAGTGCTTTAGAGTCAAACAGGCCTGAGTTTGGAAGCCACAGGTGTTGTAAAGATGACATTAAACTGTGTGTGAAAGTGGCGTAGCGCAGTGCCAGGTATGTAGTGAACATTTATTACATGGGAGCGGCGAGTGGTGGTAATGACAGGAATCAAGCATCCAGAGAGCTGGAGTTAGAAATCAGGGATGCCGTGCTTCAGGTACCGCAGGGGACAACCATTGTTCATACTGTTTGGGATGTTTTGCGCGCTTGAGTGCCCTGGCTCCTCATTAGAGTTCTAATGAGGACTCTAGGGTCACGTAAGTGAGGCCTCTTTTGGACTCTGTTGAGGGAGGCTTAGGTGTTCAGTCCCTGAAGCCCCTTGTTAGCCCTGGTTGTCCCTGAGGGGATCATCACAGCACAGACACATCATGGGCCCCCTCGCAGGGCTCCAAAGCCACACACAGTTCGAAGGCCTGCCCCGGAACCCTCGAGCAGGAGGCTATGGCTGGGGGCAGGGCACACTGACGCTGAGGGAGGCTCACCGGAGATTGGGATTTTGTCTGTAGGACATGGGGGCCATGGCAGACATTGTGCAGGAATGTGGTGAGCAGGTCTGTGTTGGGATAGAGGACTCGGGCAGTAGGATTGGACAGGTGAAAACCACAGGTGAGAAGACCATGACTCGTCATCTAGGCAGGAGAGGAGGCCCTTAATGGAAGATCACGGAGAAGCTTCAAGAGCTAATTGGCAGGTGTTCATGATTAGCTGGAAGTGGGGAGGAGGAGGTGACTTCTCCGCGATGCCATTCCCTAAAAAAGGGAGTGAGGAGGAGCAGGACGGGGCAGAGGGATGGGGGTGGGAAACATGGAAGCAGTGGTCTAGCACATAATGAGTTTGGGACGCCCTCGAGGGAGACATACTCGCGAAGCAGAAGAGCTGACATTGACTCAGGCCCAACCCTGTGTCAGACAGTGCTAAGCACCTTACACATACTGTTTTGTTTTAACAGCCCTAAAAAGTAAGTGCCATTATTCCCACTGTACAGATAAGGAAGTTGAGGCACAATGAGAAAGTAAGTGGACCAAAGTTAACAAGGCTACTGAGGGACAGAGCCACAATTTGACCCCAGGGCGTGTGGGCTCAGCACCATCGGCTCTTCAGGTAGCGTCTGTGCTGCACTGCCGCTCTGTGGCGTTTGGACACCTGGGTCAGGAGCTCAGGGTGGATCTGACCTGTAGCTACGGAGCCCTCTGAGTCCAGGATTGCTCTAGCACTTGTGGAGAGCCAGCCAGTGAGTGTCTTGGCATCAAACCATTCATAGGCTGAATAAGCAGGTATAAATACCACATCACGGAGGCGCCCTCCAACTTGGGGTGTGGTAGAAGACAACAGGCTGTGTCTTAAGCACCACTGCTCGAGGCCCACAAGCCCCTCTAGGGTGCTTTGCCCAGAGGAAGAGAGAGGCAGGAAGGAGTCATGTAATGCAATTGACGGTAGCTTTAGGACAAGCGAGGTCCACAAAACTGAGTGGGAAAGGGTGGGCAGGGCGGCAGGCACGCGTGCCAGACTGGCAGGTGGTCTGGAGAAACGCTAACTGTCCTTCGGGAGACTGCCGTGGCAGGACTTACCTCGAGCTTATTCTTTCCCCAGGACTAACTTGAGTGCTTTAGAAATCCAGATAAACTCTTAGCAAGTTGATACCCTCAAGGTCAATAGAGAACGTCTAGTTCAATGCCCTCACTTTCCAGATAAGGACATAGAGGCCCAGAGAAATTAAGTGACTTGACCAAAATTGTCCAGTTAAGTGTGACAGGGACACTGCTTCTCTGTCATAGGATGTTGTAAACAGGTCCAAGGATGGACACACCAAGCCCCTCTACCTGAGAATGTGGAACTGTGACCCTCCTTTACTTCCAAAAGGGCTCCCTCTAGGGTAGAGGCTGGTTTCCTTCCCTCTAGCAAGGCAGAGCCTGTTGGGTGTTCTACCAAAGCTTCTCTTTCTAGCCCTTGCACTCTCTTGGATAACTGCAATTGAGTTCTGACTATTAGATTTACTGAGAGCTCTGCTGGTGAGGAGAAGGAAGAAGGGAGAAGCTCAGCCTGGAACTGAAATCCTTCCAGCAAACCACTCGCCCTCTCTGCTGTGGCTACTCCTGCCCCAGTGGCCCTCCTCCTGCACAGCTGAGCGCCGTGCGTATCCCCCAGTGCAATGCCATGGGATGCTGACTTCCAGTGGGGTTTGGGTGATGCTCTCAGCAAAGACATCAACAGTGTATGGGGTCACTCTGCTTTCCCAGGCTGGAGGTTCCCAGGCAATGGAAAAGCAGCTCCCTTTGCATTGTTCTCTCAAGCCCTTGCTCCTCAGAAGTGTGATTCCTGGGCCAGTGGATCAGCATGCACTGGGAGCTAGTTAGAAATGAGGACTCTCAGGTCCTCCCCCCACCACTCCTGATCTATTGAGTTGGCACCGGCACTTTGACAAGGCTCCTGGGCGATTCCCAGCACCGGTGCTGGAGAGCTGTGCTATGTGAGGTTGCTTTTTCCCAGAGCCACACTCCTATATCATTGGACCAAGGACATGTCATGCAGCAATTTCCCCCACCTCAAGTGTAGCCAGAAAGCTTTGCAGCCCTGCTTGCTTCTCCCAAACCTTCAAAAAGACGTTAGGACCAGAAGATTAAATAGTAAAGCTCTTTGCTTTACGGGACAAATACCCAGTCTTCTCAAAAAAGGAGTCAGATATCAGTACTGAAAGAGTAAAGTGGTCTGAGGCTCACGCTTCTGGGTAGTGAGACCTCAAAGTGCCCCCTGCCCCTCCAAGGCCCTGCTGCGATATAAGAGTGTCTGATATCTGATGCTGCCCAGAGGGTTCTGAGTGAGTTACTAAGTCAACTCACATTCATCAATCCCACATTATTAAAGTGCAGATAGTTGGGCAATGCATTTTAGACATTCTTAAAACAAATGTATGGAAGAAAGTCCTGGAACACAAATGTCATGTAGAAAGTTAACTTACGTGCAACAACCCTTCCCTCCCCAGCAGTACCGGAAACGTGAGATTGCCCGGCACCCCACACCTCGTACAATGTTGCAGATGAGGTGACCTATCCCTGCCTTCATGCCCCTTCCCCAGCCCAATAAGGATTTTTGGTGGTTGATAGAACACACAGGAGGCAAGAAAATGATTTTTTAAGGTTTTTTGAATTGTTTTTAAAGAAACTGCATACATCATCAGAGACAAACAATAATTTAAATACCATGCAGTTTCTGTATGTACAAAACCTAGGCCATAGAGATCCAGTTTAATTTGTATTCTATTTACATTGTCTTCCTCACACAGCCGTCGTCTGTTAAATTTGAACACGAGAGAGCTCTCCTATACAAAGAAAAACTATGTACAGACACCTGGGAAGCAAGTGGAAAAAGCAACCGGTTTGGGGATTAACAGACAAATGGGAGGAAGAACTCACTTAAGGTGACCTCGGCACACTGGCTGTGCGCAGGGGGAGCCGGGCGGCCATTCACCGAAGCACACTCCACGGTTGTCATTCAGCAAATAGAGATACACGTTCATAAGCGGGAGAAAAATAAACTCGGAGGTTTCACCACATCTACCATCACACTGTTTGGTTTCTCTAATCTGATATAAAGGCTAAAGTTTCACGTTTTCCAGGGCTTTGGGGGTCTTGGGAGGGAACAGCGCAATTTCGAAAGAGCACAGAGGCCGACCGATGGCACTGGTCTGTCACAGAGGCAACGGGGGGCTGGGCAGTGTCTTGTTTCAAAGGAAACATTTCGATCTGAGAAATACCACATTTTTCCTTTCATGCTAATCCAAATGACAAGAGGCTCAGCTGGAAATTTATACACAGGAAATAAAACTTTACTTGAAAAAACAGCTTTTTCAGAAAAGGAACGCATTGTAAACCAGGTAGGCCATCCTCCCCGCCCCATAATTAATGTCAATTTGTCATCGTAGAAAGTAACACACATTTTTCAATTGTCATAATAATGTGGCAAAAAAGAAATTTGGATAGATTTCTGTAAAGACCTCAAGATATCAGGAAAGGAAAGAGACAGCCGAGGTGCCATCTGGGGTCCACTGAGGCTGCTGAGCCACTTACAGTGGGTCTGAAATCACCCACCTCTGTGGTGGGAGCTCTCAGTGGCATGGAGGGTGCACCCCTAACCCTGCAAGTGACTTCTGGAGAATGGCACTCTGCAGGAAGACAAGTAGAGCATGTGTTCAGCTTCTTCCATGAACAAAGGGGACTGCAAGAGTAGGGCACTTTGGGCGGAAAACCTGGACTACCAGCTGGCTGGCTCCATGGAAATTGGTTTGGGCCTCAAGTCCCCTGGAATCCTAAAGGCCCAAGAACCCAGGCAAGCAGAGAAGCCACTGGCCTTGGTTGGAGGAGCCCTGGTCATGGAATGAGTTTCCACTGGACTGGCTCCTGGGCCAGGGGGAAGGCCTGACCCTGCCGCCAGGGCACTGCGAGCCACCAGAAGCACAGCTGCCAGGAAGAGGAAGCTCAGACTCAGCTCCCAGCAAAGCAGGCACCTCCGCCTCGAATAGGTGCCTGCCATAGAGAAGTCAAATGAAAGAGCCCTACATCTTTTGTCACATCATTTGCACATTCAGACGTCAGCAAGCCTTTTGGGAAGACAGTGCTTACAGCCACACTGAAGTCCTGACCACACACATTTTCCCTGAAGGTACTTCTACCCATGTCAGTAACTATTCAGATTCAGCATTCAAAGAAAAAAAAGGGTCTAGTGATGGCATCCTCCTGGGACGGGTGGCAGCGTGCTCGTTCCAGGTGCTGCGAGCAAAGCATATGCAGCTTTGCAGCGGCTGGTGGGCAGTGCCTGGAGAACTGCCCAGAGATCCCTGCAAATACACACAGCTCTGGGTAATGGCCACGAGAGCCGAGAATGCCTGCAGAAAGTGAGTGGCCTCACTGATGACGTGCATCCCAAGAGTAACCTGCGTCCCACACAGTTGGTGGTGGGGACTGGTTAACTCTTTGTTGTGAAGGCCAAGCTGGCATCTTTCTAAATCCTGGGCATGTGTGGTGGAGAGCGACCCATTCCCTGGGAAGATCATGGTAACTCTGAGACCACTGCGGGCAGCCAGGCAGAGCCTGGCGACGGAGGCCCTGCAAGCGCCCAGGAGAGAAACAGAACTGCTGCAATGGGCCCCAGGGAGACGGCCGTTAGGGTTTGGGACTTGTTCTCTCTCTCACTGCACATGCTGCCCTCAGTTAACAGGGCATGCTTTCCTGTGGTCCCAAGTGAGGAGAACAGTTAGGGATATGTCTCCAATCACCCTCACCAGCCTTATGAGGACATGAAGGGTTCTCTGTGGATAAATATGAGCGGGGAGGCACAGCACAAGGCAGGCGTGGCTGGTGTTGGCATGATTCTGGCCCGTGCCATGCTCTGGGGCTTTTCCATAGAGACTCTTCAGTGCAAAGACAGGAGACGAGAAGGCCATCAAGTGCTTCTAGGGTACCAATCAGCTCATCAGTGACTGGGACACCAGTCTTTCAGGCATGGTTTCTGGCCTGCAGGCACTGGTTCTACACTCAGAAGCCATTAACTCCCAGCCATACAGTCACCAGTGCTGGGGCGTACTGAGAAAATGACACCTCAGCCAAGCCGAGTTTCTCATGGCAGCCTTCAGCCTTTGTGCCCTCAATATGGTCCTTTTGCTCACGAGCATGATACTATAGGCACACCTTAGCGATGGCTGTTCATGTGCATTAAGATCACCTGTAACATTGGACTTTGAATACAATGGGTCAGTTCACTTGAACTGAGCAGATGGCGACTTTCCCCTTCCAAATCAGAGCTCCCTGGAAGGCAGCTCACCTCTGTCTAGGGGACAGAATAGGCATTCAGTGTCAGCCTCGCATGCCTGGAACACAAGCACTCTTAGGACTGACCATCAACCACAGACTCCCCCTGGGAAAAGGGCTCTTCCCTTTTGCTCGCTGCATGGAGGGTGGCCAGAGGGAGAAAGGTCAGTGCAACTGAGCCAGTGCTCCCTCTCAGCATCCTCCTCCTACGGGGATCCCAAACCAGAAGCCATGCCTGCAGCCATTGTGTTTGGCCGGGTCTAGAAGGCCGACCAGATCATTTGCTTTGTGAAGTCCTTCCCAGGCCACACCCACCACCTTGGCTTTCTTTGGACTTAGGTGACAGATACTTTTGAGGAAGAGGTTCCCTGGAGCCCAAGTGAATGCAGAGCCTGCTGGGCTTGGCTGGAGAGGACTGGGGCTGCTCTGAGGGTCGGAGAGTCTTCGCTGAGGTGCCGCCGGTGCTGGCAGCCCTGCCGGTGATGGGTACAGTCTGGGGTCTGCGGTGGTGCCAGCAGCTCTGACCGGGGAGCAGTAACCATGGTGCTTTCGCAAACAGAATCTTGATTGTGTTTCCTTTTATTTTTCTTCTTCTTTTTAAAAAAGGCAGTTCAGAAGATTTACATCGTGATGGGGAAGTGAATAAATACCAGCACTTATGGTTCTTATAAATTTATGTTTTGAAGACAGCATAGCACTCAAGAGGACTTTGACTGTTAAGGTCGGTGAAACCTAGGAAAACAAATACTTAAGTAAAGACCAAGCATCTGGCAAAGGTGCTCAGTTTCCCAGTTCAAGCTTTCCATCCTTAGAGTCCTTGTTTCTGACAGCGAGAGGGAATTTTAAATCTCTCTCTACCACAGGCACATGCCCACAGAGCTTCTCGGGCACCCGAGACCCAGTGAATTCACCTTCAGGTTTGGAATAGTTTCATCTGGACACCTAGGGACTAATCTGGTGGCCCTGGTGCCCTCAGCCCAGACTCGGCGGTGAGGTGCAGAACTCAACCCCGTGTCTCAAGTCCAGGCACCATTTCTCCAAAGATTCCCCAAAGGAGAGTGTCACAAGGATTGTTAATGGCTCTGCCACTGACTAGCCAAGTGACCTTACATAAGCGCGCCAACTGCTGTGTTCCGTTTTCCCAAACGTCATCACACAGGGCCTCCTGGGGGGCCGGCATGGAATCCCAGAGGCGAGCTAGGTTTGGCCTCTGCTGACTGGCTGTACATTGTCACTGATGTTTTCTCCTCAGCTTCAGTTCTTGTAGAAACACTTAGGCTTTCTTCCAAAGGGGGCTTCTGGCTGGGCCTTTAATTGCCCCTTCCCCTACTTTCAGTAACCACAGTGGGGACCTAATGCTGACCTTTCTGCATCTCCCCTTCACTACACCCACCACACCGCCTGTGATCTTGAAGCAGACAGGTAGTTTGGAAGTAAATGTTACAATTTGAGGGGAAAACCCACAATTGATACTAACCTTGTTAGATGTCTACTCAATTCGTGAACTTCCATCTCAGTGCTTTTAAACTCATTGAGCTCCTTTCGAATGGCAGCCTGGAACAAGAGAGGCCGTGAGTTTGCAGAGGAGGTAGATGGGAAGGAGTTCACTTTTAATTTCATTTCTAACAATATTTTTTTTATCTTTGACAAAGCCATACAAAATGGATTCTTTCACTGGGAGAAAAAAATCACCTACTGAGATTCCCTATACCCTTAAATTTACGTTGCAAATGATTATGGAATTCTGTCTGATGTCCAGAGTGCGTGCACACCGGCCCCACACTCCTGGGCTCCCGAGTACGAAGTTCAATGCCAACCTCTCATCTTCCTTAGGCACACCGTCTTAACTTGTCGCAGCCACAGCAATGCTTCCCATGGATATTTCTGGAAGGGGTGGATGATCCTCCCACCCTACTCCCCAGTTTCCTTTGATTTATAAGGCCTCCGTTCGTTCACAGCTTTCTTGGTGCTGAGATGATATTTTTCACACCACGGTGGGTATATGGGATGTTTTGAATAACCGTAGTATATTCTGAGATAAACCAGAATAACCTCGCCCTTAGAGCACTGCCCACTGAGCTGGCTGGGCAACCGACAGGGAAGAGACAGGTGAGGAGGGTCTGGAGTACAAGGGTGCCTGGGGTCGGAGGAAACCTCACACCTCAGGGGCTGCAACACGTGCCCTTTCGTAGAGCTCTTTCTGAGGCTGATATTTGCTTTGATGGGAATATCACAGCAGTGAGAGTTTGAGGGTGGAAGTCTTTAGGTAGCATCGGATGGGCTCCCCTCAGGGAAGGAGGGCACACTAGTGTTTAAGTTCCAGGTTATGAGCTTCCAGAAGGCACTGGGTCTCATCCTTCCCTCCCCAGCAGCCCGGGCTGCCCACCTAACAGCGCCTCAGAAGTTGGGCATGTGCATGTGGAGTTGCCTTGCACTTCCCCTTGGCACCTGTGACACCCTGTCCTCGGTAAGCAGGCATTCCGCAGGGCAAGTGTGAGCAAGACAACGAGGGCTGGGGCCTCTGCTTCTGGCACAACAGACGCAGCCGCCTGGGGCTGGTTCTGTCTGTGCCAGCACCCGGGGTCGCGCGCGCACCAGGAATTCCTGTGCAGGGGAGCTCCGTTTAAGGCGAGGGCGGAGCTTCCCACTCATCAGGATCTGTGGGCAGCCAGGCAGGGATGTCTCTGCCTCTGGCCACATCAGTTTCCCTCCAACCACAGCTTCCCTCCTCTGTCCCAGTGAAGAAGCCACTGGCTCCAAGGAGTGTGAGGCCAAGAAGGCAGGATCTTCAGGGGAAGATGCAGTGTACCCCAGAGCTGCCCTGATGTCACATGTACGGTGGACATAGTCATTATTTTAGACTTTTAAAAAAAGGCTCTCAGCTCACCAGTTCCCTCTGGTGACTGGACTAGAACCACAAAGGAGGACCAACCAGAGCTTCATGTTAACACACCGTCAAATGGACAGGTGAGAATGACTTGTCGTCTGCATCCCTGCATTTCTTATAAAATAAACTCAAGTTCGGATTATTGTTATTCTTTCTGTTTTCCAAATCGATGCGGGTTTAGTGTAGTGGGGCATGTTTTGCTATCTGTGATTCGTGTCCTGTTTTTGCCATTAGGTTACAAAAACTGCAGGCACAGAGCCTTGGTCCCTTTTGGTTCTGTGAGTCCCCACTAGGTGCCGAGGACAGTGTCCTCCACACGGAGGTCCATGGTGAGTGTGCAGCCTCATGTTCCTGAACTGCCCTGTGCCACCCCCATGCTATTCCTTTCTCTGGGCACAGCATCCCACGCTGCCTCTCCTCTGTAAAGCAGCCCAGTATCATTGTCCACTTTGTTCCTTCTCCAGAATAGTGAAGAACCAATGCAGCGACCCCTGCAGATTATCTGGAGCCCAGGGGAAAGGTGCTGGGGACATGGGACTCTCAGCTTGCCCAGCGGGCACTGAGTGCTCCATTACTGGGACCGTGATGGTGGCTTTGGTGTTGGTTGCAGTACAGCATCCCAGGCAGCAAGAGAGAAATCCAGTATAGGGGCAAAACCAAGGTGTGGGGACCTGCTGCCCACCTCCTGCCCCCTCTGCTTACTTTATCGGCGGCGGTGAGGCGGGTCCATGGCTTGTCGGCCCTGCGGTCATAGTCCTGAGCATCTGCTACCTCTACGTAGTCGCTGAAGCGGATGAGGATCTTTCTTTCCCGAAGTTCTTCCACTGTGGGCCTTTGGCTGAGCTGCAGGAGGAAGAGAGTTGGACATAGTCAACTGAGAAGTTTAGATCCATCTGTGAATTTACAGGTGCTGCAGTGAGGCTCAGAGGGGCAACTGACACATCACACGGAGAGGGGGCACAGGGCTGGGTGGAGACCTGGGGCTCCTGATTCCTGCACCCAGGACTTTTCTAGAACTGAGAGAGAATGAGACACACACACACTCACACACACACACACACACACAGAGTGACAGAGAGAGAGAGAGAGAGAGAGTGAGTTTTATTATTCCTTGAGCTGCTCCAGGCCCATCCAGATGGACAGCCTGGCTGTCTCTTTCTTAGGTACACGGTAGTATCTCCATCTTTACAAGCAGCTGTTCCTCTGTGGGTGTGGGTATCTGCTGAGGATTTTTCCACACCTGTCCTGCTTCTGGCATCAGGTGACAGGAACATTACACAAAGGTTTTGTCTTACTTTGGATTTGCGAGTCCATATCCGTGTGTCAAATTTAGTGCTCTCTGAAAGATGGGTTTGCAAATCATTTTATAGATGTGTTTTAGACACAAAACAGTGTCCATGCAGGCTCCGGGGAATTGCTGGAGTGGGAATGTGGAGACTGCTCCTCAAGGAGTCCAAACGAGAGGTCAGGCCACCAAGGCAGAGCCGGGCTACGTTTATGCCAAGGAAGCCTCGGGGTGGGCCTTTGGATGGGTCTGCAGCGAGGGAACGAAGCACATAAAAAGAGAACTCGTATTTATCCATATCCCGATGTCTCTCACTAGTGCCCTTTTTTGTACGTTAACAATGTAAGGCTGATGTTTCTACTCTCTCCTCCAGTCACTAGGTGGATTTCTTCTGGAGCAACATAGTTGCCCTCTCTTCAGGATGCTGTCAATTCACGTTCGATTGGTATTATTTAAAAGCAATTCATGTTCAACCAATATTATTTACAGGTAATTTTTCCTCCAAGCCTTAGATTGTATTTAATTTTATTAATAGAAGATGTGGTCAGATAGAATCTTACCACAAAGGCAGATAAAACAGACACACACAAGGGAGTCCAACCACCCTGCCTGCTTCACCCTTACCATGCAGCTGCCACACCTCCGCCGGTGCCAGAAGGCTCCAACCTGCTGCCCACTGGCCTACCCCAAGGAGCATGACCAGGTGCTTGCCTGGCAGGTATTAACTAGGATGGTGATATGTTTTGTGAGGCTGCAGACAGGACCAAGGCAGCTGGCAGTGCCCTTCTGGCCAGTGGTGGGAAGATGTGGGGATCAGAGGCCTCTGGGGCCATGGCAGGGCCCACATGCCTGGACCGCATGTGGCTCCCCCTCATGGTGGCTTTGGTCTGTCCTGAGGCAGCCCTGGTTTTCGTGGAGGCACATTCAGCATCAGTGCCAGCCCGTTGCAGGAAACCATAGGCCGCCCAGCCTCTACAGCCGGGGTTGTTGTAAACAGAAACGGAGGTCCGGCCTGACTCAAAAATGTGAGTGTGGGGAGCTTTGGTTTTACTGTTAAAGTACATAAAGCCAGTTAATGTTTACCATATTTACTCCAGATAAAGAAGGATTCCCACTCAAAATCCCCAGTTTGTGCTGCTTAGGACTACCAAGGTTTACCCCAGGGTGTTGGATGGAAAGGAATTATTTTTGAAGTGTGCCATGACACAGGAAAGTTGTAAGCATGAAGTTTGTAGTTTATATTTCTGGAAATCATGACCTGGGTTTTACTAATAGCCGTCAATGGCAGAGTCTGGAGTAAACGGAAAACTGTCAGCTCTGAAGGCCAGGGACTATTTTTCCATGCCTGAATCCCATGGGACCTTAGATATGAGCTCCCCAAGTCAATGACCCACTTCATCCCCCTGCTGGGGGAGGGGGTGAGGAGGGAACCCACTTCTGCTGGGAGAGGCCTAGGTGGTGTGTGGGCCACTGGGACCCCATGGGAGCGTGGGCTCCTGCCCTGGCCACGTGGGGTGCAGGAGATGTCCCTTTACCTTGTGACTGGTTGCAGCCATCGGGGCATGAGAACCCGAGGCCCTTCCTCAGATGTTGAGGAAGTGATCTGTGTGGCCAAAGTTGATTTTCTAGGGGTGATGGACCGGAAGAAGAGGCAGAGAGCAGGGGTTGGTAGCACTATGTATCAGTCTATGGCAGCAGTAATATCATTGGCAAGCAAATACTCAACAAAAGAGTAATTGAGACCCAAATTTCAATATTAATATAACCTGACCCAAGTGGATTTCTTTCTTTCCTCCCTCCCTCCCTCCCTCCCTCCCTCCCTTCCTCATCTTTTCCCATTTATCTACCCATTTAGCTAGCTAGCATTATTTTTTTAGAAGGGGAAGCAGGCCTCTATTAAAAGACAAAACATAATTTTTAGGAGAATATCAATTTTGCTGAAGAAAATGACTGGTCTGCGGCTGTCAGCACCAGCGACTGGGTTCCACCTTTCTCACCAAGTACATTGAGATTAAATGGAAGTGGACTGAGGAAGTCCTTGGGCGGAGGGTAAGTTACTGAAAGGCAGCCACCATCACTGGCATCTGGTCTCGGTGTGACAAAGGCCCTCGAGAAAAAGAACTTGCCCGGAGCCAGGAGGTGGTGGGTTCCCTACCTGCTGACAGGCTCACAGCTCTGTCCACAAAAAGAGAGGTGAAAGCTTCTAGTCTCTCCCTTAGAACAGTGACTGACCCGCCCCCCACAAACTCAAGCTCATTATTTCTAACTCGCCAAGCCAGTCCCGGGGAGGGAAACGCTGAAGTTACAAGGCAGTGTTCCTGGCAGGAGGACGGGCAGGAAACCCAGAGGCGGGGAGGCGTTTATCGTGCCTTGCCGACCTGCCGAACCGATGGGCTTGCTGAGCTGCCTGTCTCCAGTGCAGCCCACCCCGGGGAGACGGGTGTGGGGTGGCACCCTCCTCCCTGCTGAGTTATGCAATGTGTCAAGTTTTTCTCAACAAAATTATATACTCTTTCTTAAAGAGATAAGAATTAGATGGGCGTTTAAGTATTTTCCTTACTCTAGTTTTTAGAAACTCTAAAGTTTGGGAGAATTTTCAGGTCCCAGCAATCAACTCCAATGGACTTAATGAAAACTGGATTTAAACTTTTTTCTGAATGTGTGGACGTTTCTGTATGAGAAATGAGCCTCTTTTTGATACCACAGTTATTTCAAGGTCACACTTAGAACAAGTTAATGCATCTCCCTCCCCCGCATCCTCCTCACTCCTCAGTCTCCAGGCAAAGGGTGACCCATGTCCAAAGACTGGGTGGCCTTAAGGATTTAAAGACTCAGACCGTGACTGGGGTGAGGGCCTCTGGGTGAACAGAGGTCATGAAGCTCTTGTTCTGCTTCCCACCATGGGGATCCTGGCCTGTCATTGGCCTTTCAGGAGCTTGTTTATTCTACTTTCAATTGGGATGGCATCTGGCTTGTCACCGGAAGTCTGGGGTGCTCTAAGAGTATGAGAAGCACAAGTCACCACCTTAATAATTGGTATGATATTTTAGGATCTTTGAATTCCTGCCTTTGTGCAATATTTCTATGGAGAAAAATCCATTAATAAACTGCTAAAATTAATTTTAATGGGATTCTTAACTGTTTGAGATTTGAGAATCTTTCTCTCAAGATGATCACTGGGGAAGGTGGATTCAAACCCCTCTCATTAGATAGAACATAGTATTATAGCTTGTGTGTCGTCACTTAACCTGTCAACATCATCCAGGAAGAGCCTCAAATAAAAGTGCTGTGAACAAGGGCACTCGGGTAGAATCCAGTCCATTTGGGCCTGCAGGGCATCACCAAGCTGTCTATTTTGGACATTAAAAATATATAAAAATTCTAGTTTTACGACTTTTTTCCTAAGTGCTTTTCAGATATCTTCATAATATTTATCAGTACTTTAGGATGTTTCCTAATTCAATACTCCAAATTGGATTTAGTATAATGGAGTCTAACAGTTCTTAGCTAATAGGTAGGGAACAGTCTCAGGGGAGGCAAGGAAAATTCATGTGTTCCCAAGGTCACAGCAAATAACTGTTATATTTGTGCTACCAATTTTGACAATGAGTTTCCAGTTGCTTGATGGGGTAACAGTACATTTTTAAAAATAAAATGTTCACTGTAATTGCAAATTTAATGCACTTGACATCAAGTTGCTTGGGGGCAGGTGAGTGTCACAAAATCATGCAACACAGAATGTCACCAGATAAAAGGACTGAAGGTCATGCAGCTGAGTGGGCCACGGTCCCCTGGAGAGGTCCTGGAGAACCAGGCAGCTGCACGCTCTGACAGCGAGGTGGGGGAGCACGCGCGCCGCCTGCAAGGGGACGGGCAGCTGCGAGGCCACTGGGGCCAGCAGGGCACACAGGCATGGAAAGCACCCCCACCTCCTGCCCCAGCTCTTGGTGGAGAACTTTCTCACCTTTCGAGTTAGCCTCCTCTTGATCTCTCTTTTCTCCTCTTGTTCCTCTTGTTCATTCCGAGCTGAAAGAAACATGGAAGACGCTTTTGATTCTGTAAACAGTGTTGCACACAGAGCATATCTGAACCTGTGCAGCTCTGGGCCAAGCACCTCGCAATGTAAAAAGGGGAAGAGAAAGCTGCTGTCTTGGGCCAGACTTCGGCCTGTGGGGACACTTTCCAAACTTCCTACATTATTTCCAAGTGGTGGTGTGCAGGCTGTCTTACTTTGTTTTCTTTCTGTCACATGGGTTTCAAGTCTCTGAGGCAGAAATGCTGGGTGAGGTGTGGCTTACAAGGCAAGGAGGGAGGTTCCAAACGAGGCGGGGGTGGGGGTGTCAGCCATGACATGGGTGTTTGGGGGGAGGCAAGGCACCCACCCTTCTTTGGAAGCCTCACAGCCTCACAGTGACTGCAGGGGCTCTTTGTGACATGACCCTCGTGTCTGGTGCACTGTTCGGAGTAGAACCCAAGGCTGGCCCCACAGGGTGCCTGTCACCTGTGGGGACACAGTGAGGTCCAGCTAATGCCAAATGTGAGCCCGGCTGCACAGAGAGGAATTTCAAAGTGCTCACCTTTTGAAAGCCCTGATCCCATGAATTCTTTGAATCTTCCAAGGAGTCCACTGAGCACGTGTGAGGCCAGAAAGTAGGATACAATTGCCTGCATTTAGACTTTAACGAGTGTCTTAGACGAGGAGAGTCCGGAGCCTAAATGTCTCCAGCTTAATATGTGGGGTGACTTACTTATCAGACGTTTAGAGCTGCAGGTTAGAGGGTCTGGGGAAGGGAGCAGAGATGTGCAGGGCAGAGAACTCAGGCTTGTTTTTCCCTTCCAGCTAACCGAATGACTTGGGTACGTCAGTTGCCTTCTGGGCCTTGGAATGGAAGCGTGGCTATAGACATAATGCCTAAAATCATGGAAGTCAAAGAATGTCTCTGGTTCTCCCCCACCAGATTTAGAATGGCATGAGTGAAAGACAGCCGCTTCAAGCTGGTGTTGGCGCAGGGCACACTATGAGTGCCTGGGCATGCATTCTCTCCTTGTGAAATCACTAGTGTTAAACTATGTTTTGATAACTAAACGTTTCGTGTCAGCGCACACTTGCCATTCCGTTGTCTGAGCACAGGGCAGATCTTTGAAAGAGGGAAGCTGCTGTGCATGGAAGCGGGGTCCCAGCCTGCCCCTCCTCGTCAGCCCTGACAGCGGCCACCACAACCACCGCCAACGCCCACCGCAGGTGGCTGTACCTCCTGCTGGAAGGAAGACGGCAGTTTAGAGCAGAACTCAGGCCCTTGGGCGACACTCCAGAGGCACGATCTGGCTGCCTGTGGGGATGAGCATCTTGTCTGGGGCAGCACCAGAGACGCCCATGGCCTGCTGTGGGCCGAGGTCACCAGAGGTCCCCACTGCACCCTGCCCACAGGGCCCCAAACCACCCATGTGGAAGCTCCTCCCTTTGGGTTTAAAGATCCTATCTCCCTCTCAGAATTCCTTTAAAAATGTAAATTTCTCTTAGATAAAAACCCATTAAACTAGTCAGCCATTGATATCTTAATATGAACTAATCTATCAGCGATAAATAAGATGGGAGGCAGGCAGCCAGACCCAGAAGAAATGGAGAGCCAGACAGCCACATCTGCAGGTGGGAGGGCGGGAGGAGGGAGGTCCAGTCTGGAGGAGGGGGGTGCCTAGGAGGCAGCTTGAGGTGCTTGGTTACAATGCACAAACTCACAGAATGTGAGGGGCCTGAGAGGCCACCTAGTGTACCCCTCTTAGTTTCTAAATGAGGATGTGAAAGCCCAGGGGCTTAAGTGGCTGCTCACACCACACACAGCTAATTAGTAAGATGAACAGCCCACCTCCTTTTTTCTCACGGGGAGACATGCCTCTTCCCCCTGCCAAGGCCTGCTCGGAGCTGGCCCTCCTCCTCCTCATTCCTGGGTACTGGCCTCAGACTCCTGTCAGGGATTCCTCACCCTATAGGCTCCTTCCCATGCCACGAATGGCATTCTGTGACAGAGCATGGGACCGTCATCTCTTACCGTCATGCATGTCTGCATTTCTTAGGCCCTTCTCAGGGGTGGGGCCCCAAGGCCACCTATGGAATCTATACCTTTAGTTCAAAGCCATTTACAAACCCAGGGTATGTTTTCTCAGGCCAATGGAACCAAGACAACCCCAGTGGGCAAGTGGGAAGAGAGGCCAGGGCAGGCCATGATGTCATCACTGCTGCCGCCATCAGAGTGTGCTCAGTGTGTGCTTAGACGTGTGCACTGCCCCCCAGGCTGCTGAACAAAGAGAGCCCTGTCACCAGGGCTGGGCAGGGCGGGGCTGGGAGTGGGACCCGGAGGCCCACCGCAGAGCCCGTCGTCTCTGTGCACCTTCTCCAGAGGCCTGGGCAGGGCGGTGTTGCACAGGACTGAGAGCTCAGAAAGTAAGTTTTAGAACAATGTGCTTCAGGGCGCTTTCTTAGCCCACTAAAAATTTCTTCTATCACAATCAGATTGGGGAAATAGAAAAACATATTTAGGAAAACAATGTTCTGGAATGCAGAGAAGAAATGAGAACCAACAGGAAAAATGAGGTTTTTTTTTCTGAAAAGATTTGGAACTATGAAATGATCAAGCTGGATCTGCTCAAGCAGTTCTTGAATTTGCAGCTATTTGAACAGGACAAGAAGGAAGAGGAAAGAGAAGGAAAAATGGAAACAACCTTTTAAGCCTCTTCGGTCTCCTGAATTTAAGACACTTGGGCTTACTTAACTGTCTGTAATATTTGAGTATTTTCTGGATGGAAATAAAACCCAATGCAAGTGTCAGCTCGTGGTCTCCCAGGGGCTGGGTAAGTGGGGTGGGCTGGGGATTTGATCCTCTCTCTTTCCAAAACCCACACCTTTGCTGAGAGGAGAACTGTTTCTGAAACCTGAACAATCTCCTGGAAGTTTTTAGCTTTCCCTTGAAGGAAGCTTATTTACCTGATTTGTGATTTTAGGAATAAAGGGACACTTTCTCTTTTTCTTTATCTCTAGCAACAGAGAGTTTATCATAGGTCAGGTATCAGGTTGGGGCAGAAAGGGAGACATCACACAGGTCAAGTGCTTCCTTGACCATGGAAATCATCTGAAAAAGTTCTAACTGTTTTACAGCATATTGAGTTTAGAAGCTTCAATAAACATCCCTTGGTTAAAAATATATATATAAGTTCCTGGAATCCTAGGAAACGCATGAGGTGCACTCGAGCCTGAGGAAAACCAACCCTAAAAACACCACCCCCTGAGAGAGGGGAGATAGTGGCCTGCCAGGCGCAGGGAGGCCGGGTGTTGGTGAAGGCAAACACCACGCAGGTGGGTGCTCTGGAGGGGCTGCCCGCCCACACACCTCCCACCATAGCCTTCCCAGGGGAAATTCAACAGCTCAACCTCAGTAACCTTCCATGCCGATCAGGTCACAAGACCACAGCGAGGAAGGGCAGACCAGTAAAATCTAGAACAGTTTCGTTGAAGTTTGGTCTAACTGGAAATACCCATGCACTGCAAACCGAGGTTTCACATGATAGGAAAGTGTACGCATGCTCAGGCACACGTGCATAGCACAGCATTTCTGTGAAATTCTGCAGAACATCTACTTTTCTTTTCTGGAGAGAAATTGGAGGGGATGTGCATATGGGAAAAGAGCATCATGAGTTAAACTAAAAATATTATTTGTTGACCGTCCCGAGGAAAGTGTCGGTGAGAGTGGTAGTCATGCCAGAGCAGAATGCCAGCAGAGGTTTTATTTTTTAATTATTCAGTACCTACCACCAAACTGAGGCATATAGGTGTCCATGAGATGCTTGATTTCTTTTAGTATTTTATATACATACAGGGGTGGGCGACAGTAGTTTATAGTTGTGAGTAAGTGAAATGGTTTATTCTTGTATTATTATTTATCAATTCTTGTATTATTTATTTGTATTACAACTGTAAACCTGCTTCTGCCAACCCCTGTATATTTTAAGCACCATCTGGATTTGCTGTACATATTCAAATATCTCTGTCATAAACCGAACAAGGGCCTCATTTGTTTGTTTCTGTCCTCCGCGACAGTGAGTTTTTCTTGAGTGAGAGCTTAGTCAGGCACACCAGAAGCCAGCTGAGAGATGAACACAAAGCATTTCTTCTTGGAAATGCTTTCCTAGACTTTAACTTGAGCGCTCAGAGGGAGAGGGATCCGATCACCAGTGGCCAGCTGCAGTGGAAAGTGATGTGTTCTAGCCCCAGGTTTCAAACGGCCACCTGCCTTATCTTTGCCTCTAATGTAGTATTGGCAGCTTTCAAGCCAATTCTGGATTAAAGGCAGTGCTAACTCTCCTCAAAATCATGTAATAATAAGTTCTTTTACAACGAATTTTCATCTTCTCTCTGACTTCACAGCCCACTATAGAAAAGGTGCTTGGACAGCCTGTAGCTTCGAAAGAGCCGGGTGGATGAGAATCTGCCCTCTCTACGGGGAGCTGCTCTGGGAGGTTCTGACACATGGGGAAGAAGCCTCGGCCGTCAGACGTTCTCAGTCATTACTGCACAGGCACAAGGGACAGACCTTGTGGCCTACATTAAATCATAGTGAGAGCCACCACAAACACATCAGGAATTGCCATGGGCTTAGTCACTTACGTTTCAAAATGTTCCTCTGCTCCAATTCCTCTGCAGTCGGCCTCTGGCTCAGCCGCCTGCGGAAAAAATCCAGGAAAAGTTTCTGGACCATATCATATCCTCCTTGGGTCATTAATCCCTCTGGCCCTTGTAGATACAGGAGATGGAGCCAGCAGCTGGAGTTCTCGTTCCATCCTGGGCTCTGAAAGACTGACTTTGGCCACTGACGCCTCCTCAGTTCCTCAATTTCAACTCCAGGAAAGGCAAGGCACCTCACGTCATGCCCTGCAGAGCTGACCCTCCTCTTTCCTCCCTGCAGGCCCCTCCCCAGCCCTCTCCTCCAGTGCCTCCAGGCAAGTGGACTTCTCTTCACAGAAGTCCCTTTCTTTCCTTGTGGCCTCTTCACTTGGGGACCTTGGCCTCTGCCTCTCTCTCCCCACCCTGAGGCTAGAGCTCACTTCCTGCCTTGTCTGTGCAGGCCCAGTTAGAATAGAAAGAGGCCCTTGGCCCCAAGGAGGAGCAAGAAGCTTGTCTGTCTGCAAAGAACAATAGCTGCTCTTCTTGTCCTCACCCATCACCACCCAGCCTTATTAGACATGGAATGACAAATGAACAGGAACAGAAGTGACACTTCTGTTGCTGGGCACGGCACGTAATTTAGCCGTAACAAGTGAAACACAGCAAGGACATGACTTGCTATGATGCAACAGCAGGGGGGTGGGGACAGACACTGGGCAGGCACCACACAGTGACAAGTAAGTCACCAGTGAATGGCCAGGTCACCAGAGGGGAGAACTGTGCACTTGTATGGCAGCAGTGTGAGGCTCCAGGAACAGTCAGCGCAAACACAGTGGGCCCCGGCATTCAGGGGGCATTCCCAGTTTTGAAGCTCTTGGAAATTATGTAACAACCCTGCAATTATTCAGCACTCTGCATCGCCCACTGGGATGAGGTGTGTCAGCTCATTGAGGGAGGGGTCTGACGCTTCTCGAAGTCTTCCAGTGGGACCCACGCGGTGGAAAGGAGCACTCTGCCCGAGTAGAGAGTCTGGTCTCTCCCCAAGGGTTGGCTACTAGTGTCTATAGTTGGCAAGATTCTTACATCACGGAATCTGAAGAAAGACCCAGATGTAAGTGTAAACATTTTCAATTCAATCTTGTTGTCACTTTTTATTGCACTGGGCCCGAAAACAATACGCTCTGCGATCCCCCGATACCGTTGCATAGGCTGTAGATGACTAGGAATGGGTTTCAGTGCCAGAGAAAGAATTTTTGGTCCACACCCTGGAAACTGCTAGAAATTGTATTCCAAAGTATTTTACATTTATAGCTGCCCAATTGGAAATTCACCATATTGGAGGTTCTAAATTTGGACTCAGCAGTGTTGAAGTCCTTTCTAAACTAGCCTTCTCCTACCATAGGAGGGAGCTTGAGATCACACAACTGAGCAAACTGACGTCATAGGTCTGGAATGCAGCCACTGACTCCACTTAGAATGAGCTTCGTATGGGCTCTACCTCATCTTTCAGTGTATTTTCCCCAAGAATACTTGTTTCTTTTATAGGGATGTGCAGCTACCTTGATGAGACCATTTTGTAAAACCCAGGTGTTAAATGAAACTAGGGTTTTGTGGACAATATGTTTTGAACAAGCCCTCTGGATTCAAGGTGGAGAGTGCATATTGGAATGTCGGCCAATGTTTTGGAGTCTTGTGCCCAGAAAGGTCTGCGGAATATGCCCGCTGGCTTGTCCCAAGCAGCCCACCGTTTCAGTATTGGATACGTGTGCCTGGTTCTGTCTGCTTTGTGTTTTTCTTATGGGTTATGTTCGGAGGGGACAAAACAATGAGGGACTCTACTATAACCAGACATAGTTCTGTTATTAACTAGGCAGGCTTTTGGTCAAACACACATAGTTTCTGATGAAACCCACCTTTAGTTATGTTTCATCTCTCTTGAAAGGGTCTGAGAACCTCAAGGCTAATCATAGCTACAAAATGCAGCTAAGCCCACTGGAATGGCATGTGCTGTAATTAGTTGTTTTGACTTTGAAAATAAATTCGGTCGGAAAATGGTACTGTGGCACTGTAATGACAAAGCACTGAACAGCACAGGAGTTATGGGGTCTGAGTTCTAGTTCTGGCTCTGCTCTGAGCCTATTTTCCTAGGACAAAGTATTTGACCCTGCCTGGCCTATGTTCTTTTTTCCCTGCAAATAATAAATAGTAATTTAATAAGCTAATGCTGATTTAATGCCTAAAATGTGTGGGCACGCTTCTAAGAACTGTATGTATGCTAATTCACTTCATCTTCACAGTAGCCCTTTGAGGTAGTATGTACTATCATTTCCATCATATAAATGAGGAAACTGAGGAAGTTGCATACCTTATCCCCACCCCCAACCGGGCCACAAAGCTAGCACATGACAGAGCTAGAACTTAAATCCAGGTATTCTGTCTCTGTAGTCTGAATATTCTTAACCAGTGTATTAGCTTCCTATTGCTGCTATAAGAAATGAGCACAAATCTAGTGGCTTACAATAACACAAACTTATTATCTTACAGTCCTAGTGGTCAGAAGTCCAATGTATTTCATTGGGCTGAAACTGCAAGTTAATAGGAGTGTGTTTCTTTTGGAAGGAGGGGACAATCTGTTCCCTTGCTTTTTTCCACTTCGAGAGGCTTGCTGCATTCCCTGTGCCTTTTCCAAACCAGCCATGTTACACCTTCAACCTCCCTCTGCCTTAGACCCTCCTCCCTATTCTTAGAAGGACCCTTGCGATTACATTGGGCTCACCTGGGTAATACAGAATAATCTCAGATCCTTAACTTAATCCAGCTGAAAACTCACTTTTGCCATCAAAGGTTACATGTTCATCCGTTTGAGGATTACGACATGGACATCTTTTAGGGGGTTGATATTCTGACTACCATAACCATCATACCTTACCAGTCAGAAGTTGCAAGCTGATGTCTGCTGGGTTGGATTTGACTTTAAGTTCTCCTTGGCATCTCAGATGTTAGAATTTCCCACCCGAATGCCTTTAGATAGGGTATGTGCGCTCCCAAGAGCCTAGTCCCCAGCACTCACTCAGATAATACATGCGTGCACAGTGACATCTGTCCTGTTCTTCCTTTCCAAACATTCCGGGCCCCTGTGGGCTTTTCAGTTTGAGAGCCCTGGATGAGGTCACCACGTCTTAAGGATCCTAACTTTTGTTTTCCTTCTCCTATCCACCAGTCTACCCAGCATCTACTAAGAGCCCCACTGAGGACTGAGCACCAACACTTCTTAAGGACCTCTCAGCTTAGAGGTGTACAACAGTGATTAAAATTTGCATGTTAAAATTTGATCCATAATTTTCAGGAGCTGAACTCTAATAAAATGTCCTCAAAATGATGTCAGTTGGAGATGATTTAGACTTTCATGGCAGTTCAGAAGCACTACAGATTCTTGCAGCATCTCAGCTTGGCCCTCCGAGGGTCGACCAGATCAGTACATGTGTGGTAGTGGAGCTGAGTGCACGGCAAAACTGTGAAGGAGATAATGTTGGAGTTGAATGTTCTGTCTCTACTCTGCCTTCTGGACCCTTCCCTTCTCATGTCCCGGGAATTATGTCATCAGTCCTCCTCTATCTCATTCCCACCCAGACCTGTTCTTAAAAGCAAATGCTATGTACTCAGCCATATCCAACTGTAAATTTGTTCTTTCATTTCACAAATCATTTGAGTGCCAGCTCTGGGTTAGGTTCTGTGTTAGACGCTGGGGCACAGTGATGAGCAAACACAGATCAAGGTCCTGTCCTTCTGGAACTTAAAGACTGGAAGGGGCTGGGGAGAGAGTCAATAATCACACAGTCACAGAACTAACTATAAGATGTAACTATAGTAAGGGCTTCCATGGTGAGTCACCTGGGGCAGTGATACTGGGATCTGACCAAGTTAGGTCACCAGAAAAAGCTTCCCAGAGGAAATGACACCGTGCCCTGATTGCAAGGATGGAGGAGGCCAGGTTGTTGGAATGGAGAGAATAAGGCGAAGAAGGATGGTGGGAAACAGGGCAGGGGCCAGGCCATGAGGCCCATGTAGGCTGTGCCCAGGAATTTTCTTTTTAGTATATCTTACTGATTATGTTATTACAGCTTCCCCCTCTTCATGCTCCCTGCCCAACCCCTGCACCCCCCAACCCTCCAGCATTCCCCTCCCCTAGTTCATGTCCATGGGTTGTACATAAAGTTCTTTGAATTCTCTGTTCCCTATAACATTAACTTCTCCCCATCTATTTTATGCCTACCAATTATTCCCTGTACCTTTCCCCTCCTTTCCTCCCTTCCCCCTCCTCACTGAAAACCCTCTATGTGATGTCCATTTCTCAGGTTCTGTTCCTGTTCTGTTTGCTTACTTTTTGTTTTCATTGATTTTTTTTTTTTAGGTTCAGTTGTTGATAGTTGTGAGTTTGTTGCCATTTTACTGTTCATAATTTTTTATCTTATTCAATTTCTTAGATAAGTCCCTTTAGCATTTCATATAATAAAGACTTGATAATGATGAACTCCTTGAACTTGACCTTATCTAGGAAGCACTTTATCTGCCCTTCCATTCTAAGTGATAGCTTTGCTGGGTAGAGTAATCTTGGATGTGGGTCCTTCCTTGCCTTTCATGACTTTGAATAGTTCTTTCCAGCCCTTTCTTCCCTGAAAGGTTTCTTTTGAGAAATTAGCTGATAGCCTTATGGGTACTCCTTTGTAGGTAACTACTTCCTTTTCTCTTGCTGCTTTTAAGATTCTCTCCTTATCTTTAATCTTGGGTAACTTAATGATGATGTGCCTTGGTGTGTTCCTCTTTGGGTCCAATTTCTTTGGGACTCTCTGGGCTTCCTGGACTTCCTAGAAGTCTATTTCCTTTGCCAGATTGGGAAGTTTTCCTTCATTATTTGTTCAAATGAGTTTGCAACTTCTTGCTCTTGTTTTCCCCTTATGATTCAGATATTGGAATGTTTAAAGTAGTTCCAGAGGTTCCTAAGCCTTTTCTCATTTTTTTGAATTCTTATTTCTTCATTGTGTTCCGGTTGGATGTTTAT